ATGACACCCAGATCTTTTATAGTAGAGCTAAAGCTAACTTTGTATCCCTCTAATTGTAAATTGAGTTGCGAGATCTGCTGTGTGCAAGATTTAGGCCCAATAAGTAATAATTCTGTTTTGTCAGAGTTTAAGAGAAGAAATTTGTTGGTCATCCAGTCTTTGATACACTCAGTTAGTTTAGACAGTTCAGACGTCTCGTCAGGTATAGTTGAAATATATAATTGAGTATCATCTGCATAGCAGTGAAAGCTGATCCCATGTCTTCTAATAATGTCTCCCAGAGGTAGCATGTCAATTATAAACAGCAAAGGGCCTAAAACTGATCCTTAAGGCACCCCATACTTTACTGGGCTGACTTGTGAAGGCTGTCCATTAATATTCACAAACTGGTAATGGTCAGTTAAGTATGACTTAAACCAGGGTTTTTCAAAGTCTAAGACAGTGGGCCTCCCTTTTGACACAACTTATCCATTGGCGCCCCCCTCCTCCCAAACACGCACGCACGCACGCGCACACACACACACACACACACACAGTATATATAAAGACACAGACAGATGCCAGACTGTTAACTCACTTTTATCATCATTTGCATAAAAGTGCAATTATTTACAGAGTAATAACAAGTATTTTAATATAACGTTTTTAAAACTAGGATGATGGTTCAATATGAATAGAACTGTCCATCCCAGTCAAAACAGTGGAAGTTTAGTGGGTCTCATGCTGTCATTAGCCAAAATATTTTGACAAACTACACATAAAGGTCGTGGTTCATCAGCTGGTCCTGTCCACGCAAATCATAAACTCAAATACTGATCATCATATCGTCGTCTTTTGGGTTTAAGCCCTGAACTTGAAGGCTTTTGTGGCGAGGGGGCGTGGCCGAGCGCCGTGGGAACGGAGTGAGGCCACCGCGTAAGCACCTGCCTCAGATCCCACGGAAGGAGCTCTGGATCATAAAAGGAGGAACAAGGGCAGAGGAAGCCGAGAGAGGACCGGACCCGGACATATTTTACTTTTGCTTTCAGTTTGACGGCAGTCTCCGTGAGGATCTGCCGTCCGTTTGTTTTGGTTTAGACGGAGCTGCCGTCACTGTCATTAATAAATCACTTTAAAACTGCTTCGGTTCTCCGCCTCCTTCCCGGCGGCCAAAGGGCCGTGAACTTCATTACAGCTTTGAATCGGGGTGGGTCTCAGAAACCGACCCATTGTATTAGCAGGCATATAATAAACGTTTAAATATAATAAAAAATACATACAATAATTAAACTTAATAATTATATTTTTATTATATTATATTTTTTCCCGCGCCTCCCCTGACATGCTCTGGCGCCCCCCAGGGGAGGCGCGCCTCACACTTTGAAAACCCCTGACTTAAACCATTGTAGAGCCTGTCCCTGGACACCTGTAGACTTTAAGCGATTTATGAGGATATTGTGGTCAATGGTGTCAAATGCCGCACTAAGATAGAGTAAAACTAATAGCGAGATGCATCCTTGGTCAACAGCTAAGAGTAAATCTTTGGTTATTTTCACTAATGCGGTTTCTGTACTGTGATGAGCCCTGAAACCTGACTAAAACACTTCAAAAATATTGTTCGTCTGCAGAAAAGAGCATAATTGAGTGGAAACAACTTTTTCTAGTATTTTAGACATAAATGTAAGATTTGAAATAGGCCTATAGTTAGCTAAGTTGTTGGTGTCTAGTTGCGGTTTCTTAATAATAGGCTTAATAACAGCTAGCTTGTAAGAGTTTGGAACATGGCCTATAGATAAAGCAGAGTTGATAATGTTAAGAAGAGGTTCTCCTATAGCAGGTAGCAGCTCTTTCAGTAATTTTGTTGGAATTGAATCCAGCATACACGTAGCTGGTTAAGAGCTATTTATAATTTTATCTAGCTCTTCCTGTTCTATGATTTTGAAGCAATGTAGGTTATTATTATTATTATGACTCAGTGAAATATTTACAGGATTTGGAGTATAAGCCTTCTATTTTATCACTGAAAAAAATTCATGAAGTCATCACTACTTATTTGCGGTGGAACATTTTGTTCCATAGTTGATCAGTTATTTGTTAATTTAGCAATGGTGTTAAATAAAAATTGTTATGATTATTTTCTATCAGTTTGCGCAGGTGCTCGGCCCTGGCAGATTTTAGAGCCCTTATATAGCTGGACATACTGTCTTTGTACGCAATTCTAAAGACCTCTAAATTAGTTTTTTTTTTCCATTTATGTGCTAATGTTGTTTTTAATTCATATTTATGTGTGATTTCAGTCATTATGTTCAAAGTACTATGGTAAACAATACTAAGAGTGTGTCACACAAGCTGTCACTAAACAAATGTGCGAATATAAAATCAACTTTACCTTAGTTGAAGTTACTCCGTGAGCCTACAATGAAGCACAGTTGAGCGAGAAGCCCGTGGAAAGCCTTCAGCTCCGCGTCAGCATGTCTCCCAAAGTCTAATAAACACACCAAAAAGCAAACAAAGTCACAATGCTGTAACTATACAAGACATTTATTATACTAGCAAACTGATGCTACTAGCCATCTTATCATATGTTAACATTTTTACACACTTTAAAAAAGTATATTTAATATGCTTAACAATACAAGCTAGCAGCAGTGCTAGTCTACTCCAAAGTAAACACATTGAGTTGCTTCAAATTACTCAATCATGCTCATTGACTTAAAAGTTGACAAACATAAATGAAAAACGAGTTGTCTTACTGTGTACAGCTCTTGTTTTCATCGAGCTGCATCTCCGACTGATCCAGGAGTGTTTCTCGCCGTTTTCGCGTCTACTATCAGTCTTCGGATTCATCCCATTTCATGAACCAAAATAGCAACATGAAACTTGTGGACTTGATATGTTGACAGACTGTAGTTTGTGCAGTTCCCATAAACGTCATAAAATAGCACGATGATGATAAATTACACCAAAACTAACAACCATTTCTGCTGTTAGCTCCTCTGCCCCACTGTAAACAACGCATACCTGTTACATAAGTCACTCTTCTGATGTCACCGGGCACAAAAGCGGACTTTTCGGAAGTAGGAAAACAGACACATTTTCTTAAAAATTTGTGCTTTTGCAGTTTGTAAAACATTTTAATATGATATTTTATGGTATTATAGAGTATTTTCACAAACGATTCTACCTTTTTTTTTTAAACAGTTTTTTAACCAATATGCTCTTTAATACCAGTCGCTCTGCCTAAATCATCAAATATTCATCAAGTTTGTATTCTACTCAAAAAAGTAAATGTAGTAAACTAGAAAGAATCCTGATCCTAGAAGTAAAGAAACTTTACAAATAAAAGATGCAACATAGGACAATTGAATGGGTTTTCTAAACTTGAGGCCCTGGTATATGCAAACTAACTGTCCTGGAGCTCCACCTTCTTTGATGTGCGGTGTTTTCCCAGTGAAGCTACTCATTCAGGGAGTCAGACAGAGAACATCATCCAAAACAACACTAGCTACATGAATACACTGGAGAGTGGAGTACAGATGTATCTGCACCTGTACAATCACTTGCAAAGAGAGATTTTAATCCGCAGAGGTGCTGTTTGCCAGATGTTTATGAAACTATTCTTTCAGCCGCCATCATTGAGTTTACAGTAAACTTGAGGAGCACAACACATTTACAACCCCACCTACTGCAGTGTAGGAGTGTTGGAAAACAGTATACCGTCACTCAGCCTTTTCAAACATTATTCAGACACGAAACATCCTGTGCACATGAGAAAATGTTTTGCTGCATTCATGTCATGTCTGCAACTTTTGTCCAATTCTGTAGACACTCATCAGATCTGTACGGTTTCTCTCCAGTGTGAATCTTCTTCTGTTTTCAGAGGTGGTAACTGATTAAACCTCTTGTCACAGTGTGAACACTTGTACGGTCTCTCAAGTGTGAAACGTCTGGTGCAGTTTCAATTTTGTAATAAAAGTCTTCTCACACTCAAGCACATATACTTTTTCACACCACTGTGGATCTTCATGTGTTCACTAAGGTTTGCTGATTGGTTGAAACTCTTCCCACACGGAGTGCATGTGAATGGTTTATCTCCAGTGTGGGTCTTTATGTGTTTATTAAGGTCTGAGGAGTTGTTGAAACTCATCCCACACCGAAGCTGCGGTCACACTAGAGTTTGAGCATGCAAAATTGTGTTGTTTGGCGCTGCGAAAAGGGGCGGGATTAAACAAGATGATTAGACATAAAATAGTGAGCGATTGGTACATATTTTACATTTCTGTCCATAGAGGTCATGTTTGTATCTTTAATTGGTCTCACAGTCAAGTGTTGAGATTTCGCGGGTCAGAGTTCACCAAGCTTAAACTTTGCAACGCAGTGAACTGCGAAACTTAACACACAAACTTGGTTTGTGGTCTGACCCATTCCGTGCTTATGAAAGGAAATCTATGGGGAGAAAAGTCCAGTGTGACCGCGGCTTAAGTGCAAGTGAATGGTTTCTCTCCAGTGTGGATCATCATGTGTCGATTAAGGTGTGATTATCGGCTGAAACCCTTCCCACATTGAGTGCATGTGAATGGTTTCTCTCCAGTGTGGATCCTCATGTGAATCTTAAGATCCTATTTTCTTCCAAAACTCTTCCCACACTGAGTGCATGTGAATGTGTTCTCTCCAGTGTGGACCCTCATGTGTTTATTAAGGCATGATGAGCAGTTAAAAGTCTTTCCACACTGGGTTCAAGTGAAGGGTTTCTCTCTAGTGTGGATCTTCTTGTGTCGATTAGGGTGTGATGATAGGGTGAAACCCTTCCCACATTGAGTGCATGTGAATGGTCTCTCTCTAGTGTGAATCTTCATGTGTTCATTAAGGTGTGATGATCGGCTGAAACTCTTTCCACATTGAGTGCATGTGAATGTGTTCTCTTCAGTGTGGATTGTCATGTGAGTCTTAAGATCGAAATTTCTTCCAAAACTCTTCCCACATAGAGTGCATGTGAATGGTTTCTCTCCAGTATGAATCATGTGTTCATTAAGGTGTGATGATCGGCTGAAACTCTTCCCACACTGAGTGCATGTGAATGGTTTCTCTCCAGTGTGGATCCTCATGTGTTCATTAAGGCATGATGAGTAGTTAAAAGTCTTTCCACACTGGGTGCAAGTGAAGGGTTTCTCTCTAGTGTGGATCTTCTTGTGTCGATTAGGGTGTGATGATAGGGTGAAACCCTTCCCACATTGAGTGCAAGTGAATGGTCTCTCTCTAGTGTGGATCTTCATGTGTTCATTAAGGTGTGATGATCGGCTGAAACTCTTCCCACACTGAGTGCATGTGAATGGTTTCTCTCCAGTGTGGATCCTCATGTGAATCTTAAAAAAATCCCCTTTTCTTCCAAAACTCTTTCCACACTGAGTGCAGGTGAAACGATTCTGGTCTCTCCATTTCAAAATGCCATCAGTCTGTAAATTAGTTTTTTCCTCAATTTTGACATGATGTTTCTCCTCTTTCCTCCCCTTATTCTCTTCAATTAGTTCTGAAATAAATAAAACATTAGTTTTCATTAAGTCTTAAAACTCTCATCAAAAGCTGAAAAGTGAAAAGACACTGGAAACATTGGCTACACACACTGTAATTTTGATGCATGGCGAATGTAAAATAAACCAGATCATATTTTGTTTGGTCCATTAATGTGTCCACATTTAAGCAGATTCGATTCATCTTTATTTATCTAATGCTTTTACAATGTAAATTGTGTCAAAGCCGCTTAACAGAAGTTATAGTGAATTGAAACTGTCAGTCCAGTTTTCAGAGTTTCTTACATAATTGATCATAAAAGCCATTTTGGTCATATGGATAAGACACAAATTTGAAAGCTGTAAACGGCTATTTTTAAAACAAAATGTTTTTCTAAAATTTGTATAGCAGACAGGGAATACTTGTTCATTCGGTGCCTGACTGGTCAACGTATCAGAAAAAAAGTTCTGGGGTAAAAGCTGAATATTTGCCTCGCAGACATGAGACATACCTGTACAGCATCTGCATAAAGGCTGGAATGTGCACATTTCTCATTGTGTGCTGTTGGGTCAGTTTCATCCATTCTAGGGGATTTTAAAGCTAAATTTGGCCAAAGCTTTCTCTGTGTTTCAGAAAACGAACTGATATTTAGGGGACATCTTATTTTAACATATTCTGGGAAAATGCTTTGAAAAAAAAAAATCTATACACTCTGGGCAAATTTACTCCCTTTTCATTATATTCATGGCTGTTTTTTCTCCATTGGCCTCTATTATAACAATTTTTTTATTGCAAAGCCATGACAGCATATAATCATGCATTTATGATAGTTGGTGTTTTCTGTAACGACAGTCAACATTGTTTAATTGGTCTACACCCATAAGACGGCAAAAAGGAAATGGGTGAGAGAATAAAGGAGGAGGAGGAGAGTTGAAGAGGGCAGCATTATGTGGTGTGTGAAAGAAAGAGAAGTTGACTGAACTTTTGCATTGCAGGAAACAAGAAGAGAAACTGCCGAGACGAGCAGTGTAAATTTAACGATTGGCCGTGAGAAACAAAGAGCGAAAGTATGTATAAAGCAAACATAAAGTCCCTTTAAGTACTCTACAGTCTTTGATTCACATTAAAGTGTAATTTAAAGATTAATTAGGTTATGTTAACTATGAAAGTTGGAATAATTAGTCAAGTTATTATATAACTGGTTTGTTGTGTAGACAATCAGTAAAATATACAGTAAATATTTCTTAAGAAAGCTAATAACACTGACTTATTTTTATTTATTTATTTTTATTAAAACTGCTTTTATTCAAGAAAAAAAACTATAAGAAATAAGACTTATTATGACTCCAGAAGAATTATTTGTGTTTTATAGGAAATATTGTGAAAATCTCCTTGGATTAATTTAGATCACTTGGGAAACACAATTTTAAATTAATGGGAGGGGGAAAAAATGGACTTTAACTGCATCTGTTAAAGTTTGCAGGTGTAAAAATGTGCCTTGATGTACTGGAATGTTTTAAATGTGTTATCCTACAATACAAAGTTTACAAAATAAATGAACATGGAAGATTATTTTGAGTTTAAGTTATTTAATTAGCTTATTTATGAAAACAGGGCAGCACAGTGGCGCGGTGGGTAGCACAATCGCCTCACAGCAAGAAAGTCTCTGGTTCAAGCCCTGGCTGGGTCCATTGGCATTTCTGTGTGGAGTTTGCATGTTCTCCCCGTGTTGGCGAGGGTTTCCCCCACAGTCCAAAAACATGTGGTATAGGTGAACTGGTTAAGCTAAATTGTCTGTGGTGTATGAATGTATGGTTGTTTCCCAGCGATTGGTTGCAGCTGGAAGGGCATCCGCTGCGTAAAACATATGCAGGATAAGTTTGTGGTTTGTTCCGCTGTGGTGACCCCAGATTAATAAAGGGACTAAGCCGAAAAGAAAATTAATGAATGAATATTTATGAAGACTGCAGAGTGATGCATAAAAATGACTTCGAATAATTGTTTAAACAGTTTGTGATGTATGTTAAAGTGTGCCCCCTAAAAGTAGAAGTCGCCCCTGCCCAGCCCCCCCAGTTACTGTGGTCTAGAACCGCCACTGGCTGACGGTCTTGCGTTTCATTGTAATTATTGTTATATTGTTTGTTTTGGACATGGCAGGGCCATATAAAGATGCAAACTGTTGAAATTCTCATGTGAAACTTAAAATTTCATTTAATATTGCTCTTATCCTAAATACTATTACCGGAAATCCAAACTATACTGGAAAATTAGTGTTTAAATGTCGGAGTCTAGCTGTTCTGAGCGTAATCCGAATTGAATCAGGATGAAAAAAGGCCAAAGCAACCGTATTGAGGTGGAATCCGCTACTAGCCCCCATGCTAATGCTAACCCCAAAGTGCAAGCTGCATCTAAGAAAGAGACGGCTCCAGCAAATGACAACAGTGCGGTCCTTCAAACTATTGATGCACTAAAAGATTATTTGATTGCTAAAACTGCAGAAAAGGCCATTGCACAGTCAAATGAACTTTGCAATCAAATTGACCAGCTTCAGACAGTTACTCTGACTCTGACTTTGCTAAAAGACCGAAGCAAGTATCTTGAGGAAAGGTCTCACCGCTCAAATCTCCACATTACGGGAGTTAAAGAAGGACGGGAGCAACGCAGACGTGTAACGGAATTTGTAGCTGGCGTCCTAAAAGATACCCTGAACCCCAAGAAGACTCCACTTCTGGACCAGGCACACTGCACTCTACACAGCAAACCAGTGGACGACAAGGAACCGCCACGAACCTTCGTGATTAAATGCCACTACTTTTCCGAAAAGAGGATATTTTGAAGAAAGACATTGAAATAAAGGCAATCACGACAGTACACTGGGCTGTCAAAGAAGATACAAATGTTAATGTCACTCTTCGGTTAACTTTTAAATTACCACTATAGCACATGTTCGTTGTTGTTATTTCTAGTTCTCAAGTATATTTTGTCAATAATAGGGTAGTTTTGTTTTTGTTTCAATATTGTGTTGTTTCGTGTTTATAGGTGTATGTGCGATCACCCCTTTTTTCTCTTTCCTCTCTTTCCCCCATACACCCCCCTACATACAAAACCCACAGATACCTTTTGGATGCTTCTGATAAATGTTTTTGACAGCCCTCCATAAAATGGGTGGAGTAAAGACAAACTATACCAGTTGGAATGTGCAGGGGCTAAATCATCCAGTGAAACGAAACAGGTTGTTTGTATATCTTAATTATTAAAAATCTGAAATGTTATATTTACAGGAGACACATCTGTTGAAAAAAAAGAATATTCTAAACTTAATAGAGGAGGCTATACACAAATATATCATTCTAACTTTGCAAAATTTAGTAGGGGCGTTGCTGTACTCATACATAGGAATGTACAGTTTGTTATGGAGTCAAATGTGTAGGATAAAAATGGCAGAAATGTAATAATCCAAGGTAAACTTTTTAACATGTCTGTGGTCCTGGCCAATGTGTATGCTCCTAATTGGGACAATGTACAATTTTTAAGTGATTTATTTTCAATTTTGTCTAGTCTTGACACATACAATTTAAATTAAGTTTTGCACCCTATTTTGGACCGCTCCAGCTCTTCGAGTAATTCATTAAGTCAGCCAGCACAATGTATCAACTCCTTCCTTCTGACATATGGTGTAAGTGACCCCAGGAGATTTAAATATCCATCTTCCAAGCAATTTTCCTTCTGTTTACCTGTGCATCAAACCTATTACAGGATTGACCATTTTCCCCTAGACAAGCAGTTACTTCCCCTAATGTCAGCAGTAGAGTATGGTAGTATTGTTATTACGGACCATTGTCCAGTCTCACCAAAGCTATGTTTTCCAGGCAATGTAATCTGGCGGTTTAACTCGAGACTCTTGGCAGATGACAATTTTGTCAAATTTATTGATGCTCAAATTGATTTCTTCCTTGAGACAAACAAATCCCCAGAGATAAATTAAAGCATCTTATAAAATACTCTGAAAGCAAATATGAGGACAGATTATTTCATATCAAGCTAGTGTAAATAAAAGAAAGTCAAAACGGCTTAGAGATTATGAATAAAATTAATACAATTGATCAGCTACTCTCAACATCAACTTCCAAAGAGCTCCATAAGAATAAACTTCTTCTGCAAGCGCAATATGACTCCTTGACAGACGAAAATGCAGCGGATCTCCACATAAGATCACGCCAGATTCATTGTCAACATGGGAAATGAGCTGGCAGGTTATTGTGTTATCAACTGAAAAACTCCTCAGCAGCTGGTGTTACAGCAGCAGTTAGTAAGGATGATGGCAGCATTATTACTGATCAACAGGGAATTAATGATCAATTAAAAAACTTCTATAAAACTCTTTACAGCTCTGAGGTAAACAAAATTGAACATATTGAGAGCTTTTTTTAATTATTTAGAATTACCATCCCTCTGTGATTCAGATCAGTTGGCATTAGAAGGACATATAACACCTTGTGTAGTTAAAAATGCAATCACAAAATTGAAAACCGGAAAAGCACCAGACCCTAATGGCTTCCCGTCCGAGTTTTTAAGAAGTTTATTGCCAAGCGAACACCCCTGTTGTGCAAGGTATTTGCTGAAGCTCTTGTTTCGGAATCACACCCCCACCCCCTCCATGACATCGGCTGTTTTAACAGTACTTCTTAAAAAGGTTAAGGATTCACTTAAATGTGAATCTTATCTTCCGATCACCTTACTCTGCTGTGATTATAAGATCCTGGCTAAAGTGCTGGCAATCAGAGTGGAGTCAGTCATGAGAAAGATAAATCACCCAGATCAAACTGGTTTTACTGTTGGGAGACAGTCATTTTACAACCTTCATCGCTTATTTAAATATTATTTATTCACCAAAAAATAATACTAATCCAGAGGTCCTAATTTCCTTAGATGCCCATAGGGCATTTGATAGAGTAGATATATTTATTTACAGCACTTAAAAAAATTGGTTTTGATCCTGGATTCTGTTCCTTAGTTAAAATTTTATATTCCAGGCCCCAAGCATCCATTCAAACAAATAATATAAATTCTAAAGGCTTTCCACTCTCTAGAACAACCAGACAGGGCTACCCTTTGTTCTTTGACATTGCCATCGAACCTCCTGCAACCGTATTAAGGAAGGAATTGCAAGGAATTTTCAGAGAGCGACACGAACATAAGTTCCTGCTATAAGTGGATGATCTTCTTTTTCTGTCAAATCCAGACACATGTATTCCAAAAGCTTTTACAATAATTTCAGAATTTGCAAATGCTTCTGGATACAAAGTCAATATAGCACAGAGTCTCCTTTTCTCTATTAATGATAGAGCACAGCAAATGTCCTTCCAATCCTTTCCATTTTCAGTAAGTCTGATAAATTTGTATAGTGAGTGTGACGAGCAAATATAAGGATTTGTGCAATAATAATTTCAAAACGACATTAGTGCCCAAGGACGTTTTTAGTGCTCAAGGACACCTTACAAACAGTAGGAGAACAAGAAAAGCATCAACTTTAAGAAGGTAGAGAAAATGGGAGACTAATAATACATAAAATAATGACAAAAGACATGAGAACAAGTAACAAGAAAGAAACTCATTCCTGTCTTTCAATGAGTGCTTATGTGCATTTCGAAGAACTAGGCAGCACACTCAGGGCTGCAAGATGGATTTAATTTAGTATTCTTATTATTAAAATATATCTGAATGAGGATCAAATGACTGAGTTGGTTTTTGAGAATTAAAACTAACCTGTTTGTTCCTGTGGATCTTCCTGTTTGACTGTGAATGTTTCTTCAATCTTCACATCTTCACTCTCCTCTTTAATAAACGCCATCTTTATAAAAGTGTGGAGATCAGTCGCTTCAGCAGGAGTTTTTCTCTGTGTTTGGACACTTTATCCTGTTTAAAATGAACAAAACAATAAAAATGTCCTGTTTAAAATAAATAAAACAATGAACAGAAACAAAATAACTTCTCTTCAACACTTGCTTCAACAGTTTCTTTATATGAGAGTCATTAACAAACAGAAATCAGATAAGTCTGATCAAGGAACAATAGCCACAAATGAGCTGTTTAAAACTAGTACTCCATTTCTTATATATAGTAATGTATATTTATAATGGAATGACATTACACTATTCAATCAATTAAACTTTCATTAAAACACTTATTACACATTGTTACTTTATTCAAGTATCTTCTTAATTGTTTTGTTTGTTTTATTTATCTTATTTTCTGTTTATAGCACTTTTTTGCACAAGACAAATTTCCTCTCCGAAACAAAAAGTTTATCCTATCTTCAAAAAATAGACCTCATTACTGTGAGTTTTAGTAAATAGTACTACGTTGTATAAGGGTTAAAATAATATTGTCAACAGGTACATAATTTAGCACTGAATGAAAACACTGAAACTTTAATCAATCGCTTTATATAAGGCTAAACGCTTTAAAACAAACCTTTCTCCAGTTGAATCACAGCGCGAGAGCGGCGCAGTCTTATGATGTCACAAGTCACGTCAAAATAAAAGTCTTTTTTTTTTTTTTTTTACTTTTTTGCTACTTACTCTTAGTCATGAGTCCTGACTTATTATATATAGTTTTTCTCTGCGTTTGGGCATTTTATCCTGTTAAAAATTAACAAAGCAATAAAAATGTCCTGTTTAAAATAAATAAAACTATGAATAGAAACAAAATAACTTCCCTGTAACAGTTTCTTTATATGACAGTAATTAACAAAAATAAATCCGGTAAGTCCGAGCAAGAAACAACAGCCACAAATAAAAAAATATATAGTGATGTATACTAAGAATGAAGTGAAATTATGCTATTTAATAAATTAAACCTTCATTAAGACACTTAATACACGTACGTTGTTCAATAGTCCTCTTTACTTTGAGTAAAATAGTATTATATATATATATTTTTAATATAGTATTATATATTATAATAGTATATATATAAAAAATCAAACTAAAGGGTAAACAAACAAGAAAAGTAAACAAGAAATCATTAAAATGTAAATATATATATTAATAAATATATAAATTAAAATTCAGACAATGGGCAGTGAAGCTCTGGACTGGAGAATACAGCAGACCGGGGAGCGCAGCTGAAGACCAGTCGTAGTTGTTGGTATGGAGAAAGCAGTCAGAGGAAGAAACTAATTCAACGGATAATCCAGCTTCAGAGATCCACAGCAGACACAAGTCAAAATAGGCAGTGAACAAGAGAGGACAGATCAGAGCTTGACACAACAGCACTACATTGTCGCAAGCCCCCAGTTACCAACCAAAAAGCGGCCTGCTCCACAACCACCTATGAGCCCACCTGGAAGAGCCCTCTGATTTCTGCCACACCGCCAGGGCCCAAACAACAACGCCCCATCTTCAGCTGGTGAACACAAGAGCTCTCACTGATGTGTGTCGGGGGCCTGCTTAGATAACAGTGTCTTTATCAAATGTTTTCAGAACAAGCAGGAACCCAGTGTGTCTGTAGCTTTCTCTAAGCAGATATGTGTTGTGTTACGTGACAGAAAACCAAAGACTTCTTTTGGCCGTAAAGCAAATAATTCAAATCTGGTGTCTATTAAATGTATATCTGAGACTTCTGTAGTGAAAACGACTAAAACTGTTAAGTTAGCGCTTTTAAACATCAGATCACTCAATAATAAGTCACTTTTAGTCAATGATTTTATCAACACAAATTGCCTTGATTTTATGCTTTTAAATGAAACTTGGCTAGATGACAGTTGTAGCGCAGCAGTTCTGTATGAAGCAGCTCCTTTAAACTTTGACTTTTTGAGTGTTTGCAGAGCTAATAGGAGAGGTGGAGGCATCGCTGCCCTGTTTAAAGATGTGTATAAATGTAAACAAGTGTCATTTGGTGACTATCTGTCTTTTGAATATCTGAGTATAGCACTAAAAGGATCTCCACGCATCTTACTGATCATTATCTACAGACCTCCAAAATATTCTTCAGCTTTTATTGAGGATTTTACAGAGCTGTTATCAATATTAAACCTCTGAATTTGATTATTTTAGTATTGCTGGGGATTTTAATATTCACATTGATAATCCAGAAATCAATGCTGTAAAAGAACTGATGACTGTTTTTAACACTTTTGATCTGACTCAGCATGTTCAAGGACACACACACAATCGTGGACACACTCTTGATCTACTTATAACTAAGGGTTTACACATTTCATCAACTGTTGTTAAGGATGTGGCACTATCTGATCATTTCTGTATCTTCTTTGATATATTGATCACTCCAGCTATTAAAGACAGATCTGTCTCTGTCAGAAAGAGATGCATAAATGAGAACACCAGTGAGCAGTTTATGAAGGCCATATCGCTAGCACCAAGCATATCTGCAGATTCTGTTGATTCTCTCCTTGATTTGTTTAGCTCTAAAATTAAGATAATCATAAATGACGTTGCTCCTTTTAAAGTCAAGAAGTTGACTGGCAGGCAAAAGGGATCTTGGACAAGGTCACCGAGAGTACAAATGATGAAAAGACAGTGCAGAAAAGCTGAGCGTATGTGGAGAAAGACGAAACTAGTAGTCCATTATAACATCTATAAAGACAGTCTTCATGCTTTTAATATGGAACTAAACACTGCTAGACAGACTTTCTTTTCAAGCCTTATAAACAGCAACTTAAATAATGCTCGTACACTCTTTGCAACGATAGAGAGACTCACAACCCCCCCCCCCCCCCCCCAGTCGGATTCCAAGTGAGCTCCTCTCTGAAAGCAAATGTAATGAGTTTGCTCATTTCTTCACTGATAAGATTAATAATATCAGAAAGGCAATCAACTCATCCAATCAACCAAGTTGTGTCGATATCAAACAAGCTCAACCACAACTTAAGAAATCAGACATTATGTCTGATTTCATGGCAATTAACGGCAAAATCTTAGAAGAGACTGTGCAAGCTATGAAAACATCAACCTGCAGTCTTGACACGCTCCCCACATCATTCTTCAAAACGGTGTTTACCTGGTTAGAAATGGATCTTCTAAAAGTGGTAATTGCTTCACTTCTATCAGGGATTTTTCCAACCTCACTTAAAACTGCAGTTGTTAAACCCCTCTTGAAGAAGAGCAAGCTGGATAACACCCTATTGAGCAATTACAGGGCAATCTCAAATCTCCCTTTCATTGGCAAAATCATTGAAAAAGTTGTTTTTAACCAGGTTAACAAGTTCTTAAACTTCAGGGGGTGTTTAGACAATTTTCAATCGGGGTTCAGAGCACATCACAGTACAGAGAGCGCTCTTATAAAGATAATCAATAATATACGTCTAAATACAGATTCAGGTAAAATAACAGTGCTGGTATTGTTGGATCTCTGTGCTGCATTTGACACTGTCGATCACAGCATACTTCTGGATAGGCTGGAAAACTGGGTTGGGCTATCTGGCACGGTCCTCAAATGGTTTAGATCTTACCTTGAAGGTAGAGGTTACCATGTCAGTATAGGTGACCATAGGTCGAGGTGGACACCCATGACGTGTGGAGTCCCACAAGACTAGATTCTGGCACCTCTCCTGTTCAACCTTTACATGCTCCCTCTAAGCCAAATAATGAGAAAGAACCAAATCTCCTACCACAGCTATGCTGATGACACTCTGCCTAGCCTTACTGCCTAATGACTACAGCCCCATTGACACCCTCTGCCAATGCATTGATGAAATGAGCAATTGGATGTGCCAAAACTTTCTTCAGTTAAACAAAGAGAAAACTGAAATGATTGTGTTTGGGAACAGGGATGAGGTTCTCAAGGTTAATGCGTACCTTGGCACTAAAGGTCAAACGACAAAAAATAAGGTCAAGAATCTTGGTGTGACTCTTGAGTCAGATCTGAGTTTCAACAGTCATGTCAAAGCAGTCAGTAAATCAGCACACTATCATCTCAAAAACATAGCAAAAATCAGATGCTTTGTTTCTAGTGAAGATTTAGAAAAACTTGTTCATGCTTTTATCAGCAGCAGGGTGGATTACTGTAATGGACTCCTCACTGGTCTTCCTAAAAAGACAGTCAGACAGTTGCAGCTCATCCAGAACGCTGCAGCCAGAATTCTAACCAGAACCAGAAAATCAGAGCACATCACACCTGTCCTCAGGTCTTTACACTGGCTGCCAGTTACATTCAGAATAGATTTTAAAGTATTATTACTGGTCTATAAATCACTAAATGGCCTAGGGCCTAAATACATCACAGATATGCTCACTGAATACAAACCTAACAGATCACTCAGATCATTAGGATCATATAAACTAGAAGTTCCAAGAGTTTAGTCAAAGCAGGGTGAATCGGCTTTTAGCCACCACGCCCCTCGCTGCTGGAATCAGCTTCCAGAAATGATCAGATGTGCTCCAACATTAGGCACATTCAAATCAAGACTGAAAACACATCTGTTTAGCTGTGCCTTTACTGAATGAGCACTGTGCTGCGTCCGACAGATTGCACTATCATGTTTTTCTCTTCTTCTTCATTCTTTTATATCACATTTTACCTGTTTTTAAGTTTTGTTTTTACGCATTTTTATTATTTGTTTTTATTTTACTTGTTTCTTTTATTCTTGTTTATGTAAAGCACTTTGAATTGCCATTGTGTATGAAATGTGCTATATAAATAAACTTGCCTTGCCTTGCCTAAACGCATATGATCCTAAAAGCTTATTTGGGTATTGTAAGAATGAAGATGTCTGCATATTTGTAGTGAGCTTTATTGTGGTCAAAGTTTGGATAACCAAAGATTGATCTTATTCACCTGTGACCCACCCAGTAAATATACAGACAAGTTTTTGATTAGCTGACCGGAGCA